CCCCGGCCGCCGGCCGACCCGGAAGCACTCGCCTCCGGTAAGCTGGAGGCAGTGACACCCGAGTGTCCTCCACATAACCCTAGAAGTGGGACGAGGCCCCAGTCAAAAGCTCCCCGCTGATCGCCCCAGGGAGCCCCAAATCAGGACGCAGAGCGAGAGCCTGTCGCGGCTCTTACCTGAATTGCGTGCACGCGGGGCTACACATGCGCGAGGGTCGGCAATGCCACTACCCGGCCGCCCCTCCCGCCCTTGGCGCCGCCCCTCCCGCCCTTGGCGCCGCCCCTCCCGCCCTTGGCGCCGCCCCTCCCGCCCTTGGCGCCGCCCCTCCCGCCCTTGGCGCCGCCCCTCCCGCCCTTGGCGCCGCCCCTCCCGCCCTTGGCGCCGCCCCTCCCGCCCTTGGCGCCGCCCCTCCCGCCCTTGGCGCCGCCCCTCCCGCCCTTGGCGCCGCCCCTCCCCTGCCCCGCCCCCTCATTCGTAATTGACGTTTCTTGGGCTCTTACTAGGAAAGCACGAACCCGACTGCGGGCTACATACATTATTTCAGGTAAGCCTCACACACATTACACTCATGTAATAGGTGCTGTGAGTATCTCATTTTGCAGAGAAGGCAAGAGACTCACCCTGCCCAACAATCACACAACAAGAAAAGATAGAACTCTGAACCCAGAACACTGATCGTTTTTCTACACCCTGAAATCCCACCTGTGATAGGCTCAGAGGATCAGCAGCCTAGGGATCACCTGAACGCTTGCTAGAAATGCAGACAGTAGTATCAGAATCCAAATTTTGGCCAGATCCCTGGACAATGAGTTGCAAATTAGCATTTGAGAAGCACTGTCTATACTGTCCACTAGGTAGAAGGAGAAGGAGGAAGAGGAAGCAGAAGCGAAGGGGAGGAAGAGAAAAGGAATATAAAGTTTTATCGAGGTACCGTGTGCAAGACAAAGACTGGAATACCCAAAATAGTTAAACACAGCTGTACCTTCACTGGAGTTCTAGTCTAGGGAAAACATATCCACAAAATAACTGATGAAAAGTGCACAATGACAAGGGCCTTGCTTCTAATCCGAGGCATCCGTGAAGGTTGTAGAGAAAAGGTGATAGCTGTTACTGCCAGGTAAAGAAAATGCTCTGCGACTACCCTAATTTTCCTGTCCAACCCCTACTCCTCACCCTAGTCCAGTCCACGTGGCTCATTTGCACAACAGAACAATGGTAAATTGTGAGATGTGGATGCATAAACTGTATTCCTTTGAAGCATATCACTGTTAGTCAAGATCACTCACATCTACACAGATGCAGAACCCCAAACAATCTCCTCCATTACACCAACTTGACTGGTATCCTCTTAAAGTTTGAACTTGGGACACTCTGTTCCATTTTATTATTTGTCTGTCAT